GTTTTTCACTATTGCAACTGAAAAACCATAGTATATCTATTAAAAACACAGTCATTTTAAACAAAGAACCCAACATAAACAAACAAAAATCAAGGAATCCATCTTAATAGAACAAAACAACCCTACTCTGAACCAACACCCCGGGGTGCCAAGATACCTCTTTTAAGTTTTGCAACAGTATCCAGTCATGTGACCTATTTTTTCTAATACTGTATATATATATATATATCTGTGTCAGTATAAATTACTTGTACCTGATGATGACAAAACCTTGTCAAAACATTATACATTTGCTGTTATGTTAAACTTATATTAAAAGTTTTTCTTCATTACCCATTCAAGCCGTCTTCAACCATTATATGGCAAGTCTACTCAGAATATGCAACAAATATAAATTTAAAAAAAAGTATATGATTTATATAGGTGACAAACCTATCTCCAAGCAAAGTTTCCTAAAACTTTCTTTTGAAAAATACTTATACTTAAGACATGAACTGCTGGTAGTTTTCAGATTTAAAAACATCTGGTAAATTTGCTAACAGATTATAAAAAATGTATACTCAGTATTTACTTTTTACATTAAGGTTTTTACAGGAAGTTAAGTTAAATCAATTCCTTTCAACCAAGATGACAGGTCTCCTACACTACATCTGGGTCGATCTATTGACCATGCTGGAAGAGAATTGGTTTGCTTCGTCTCAACCAGGTACTCTGCAGCTTGACGACCCGACAAGTAGGCTCCATGCACAGTTGAGTAAAAACTCGGATGAGTGGCTTCTCCAGCAAATAATAGAGCAGGCTAAGAGAAATAAGTGCACACACACTTGTAACAATTACAAAATATATCTATGTATAGATCATACATAATGAGTATTTAAAGCAAATAAAACACATAGATACATACTTTTTGTATGCAACACAGAAAAGATCCCTTTCATTAAATATACAACATATCAGTGTGCCCCTTGTTATACATAACACATGGAAATACACATTCCTGTTAACTGAATGACAAACCAGTTCACACTTATATTCAACATGTAAAGACCACAACCACAGCCTTGTTATTCATAAGAACAGATTTTTGAAAAGTGTACCACATGAACATTCATATACAGAAGTACACAATGGCAAAAGTTACCCATAACACACAGGGGTAGATACTAGTTCCATACACAAGAATACAACTTTGTTGCACATAACACAAAGAAGCATACCTGTTTTGATAAAACCACTTTGAGACAATAAAGTTTGAGGACGACTTGAATGGGTAATGAAGAAAAGTATTACAAATTTAACATGAGGAGGATACATCTTTGTTACATATAATGCACAGGAATTCACCTTTGCTCTGCACAATACCCAACAACATAAACCATACGACACAGAAGTAAACATAATACAAAACAGAAACCCTCTTTATACATACCATACATCACTGTTATATATATAACACACAAAAGAACAACATTGTCACACATATCACATTGGGGTTATACATTTGTTACATACACAGTAGTGCACCTTTACTACACAAGAAATACAGAAGTATATCCTAATGATGTATAATTAACAGTAATATTCTTAGTAAAATTAACACATAGTAATGCACTATTGTTATATATAATACAGAGATGTTCATCATTTTTACACATAAAACAAGAGTACTCCCCATGTTACACAAAATGTATGAGTATAACCTTGCAAGTGCCACTCATGATTCCATTACCGTTATACATAACACAATGGAACACCCTTATTACACACCACATAGAAGTACACCTCTGTTGCACATAACATATGACAGTACATGTTTTCTTACATATCAAACAGTAATTAAACAAACATGACATACAAATTACAAAAGTACAAATTTTTTACACATAACATAAGGGAGTACACACCATTATACACACAGAAATATACACTAGCTATCAATTATTACATGTCATATGTATTTTAATGAAGAACAGGACACAATGACTACAATTAATAACATACTTAGCATTCAGATTGTTCAAGATATATATCTATCCCATCATCAAGGACCTGACCTGTGATACATCAAAGACAGTGCCAATTCATACATATTTGTGATGTATTGTTTACAACAGATAGATTGAGGTAATAGAACAAAATTACAAAAATAAAACTAAATGTATGGGAATGCATCCATCTTACAGATGCCACACAGAAGTTAAACACATTACACATGCTACATGTGAATATACTTTGTATACACACCACACAGTACACCTTTTTAAACACAGAATATACAACAAAAACATTCATAATTCATAATATACTAGATGAAACCAAAATTTGGTGTAATTAATTTGAACGTAACTAATTAACTGATGTACTTAATCTAAAGTATTGGGGTTTGTCCACATCTCTGCCTAACAGATCAAATAAAGGAGATATCAATGGCAGGAGGCATCAAAAACTTAAGATAACATACTTGATGGGAGGAGACATGAAAAATAAGGAAAGTAACATCATCCAAACAGTCAAAGTGAAAGGAGATAAGTTACAAGAGGAAGAGGAATTCCATGGAAAGAAAAGACATTATCAATTGCCCTGAAAAGAGGCAGTAGAAGAGAGATAACAATGAACAGTCTATACACAATGAAAGAGTCAATATGGTGCAAACTAATCATATAATGATGAAAGGGAAGGAGGCTGAATGAAGAAAACATCAAATTACCCTCTTGTTGAGCAGTTCTGGGGAGGAAGGAGTAGTCAGGGAAGAGAAGATTGGTAGTGTATACAAGCTCTTCATTCAGATAATATTATCACTTTTTCGAGAGTGACCGAGGTCTGCAGGCTCTAACACTGACTCTTAGTGGGCAAGAAGGGCGGAGGTTATATTATTGGAAATACATTTTTGATTTAAGAAAATGTTAACTTCCAAACCATACATATCTCCTCTCACACTACAGCTAGAATCCTATGTTGATAAGGTGGAGGGGCCATTGAGGGCATTATCCATACAGAATGCATCTGCATAGATCATAAGCATTAGCACTCTATTGGGGGAACCTCACCACATCCAGAATAGGTATGCTCTTCACCCATAATCTAAATACTGTGCTACGGGAGAACTATGAGATGATCTGTTATCACTATTGTCCTGGCCCCACTGGTAGCTGAGGCCTCAGTGCTTGGGGTTGGAATTATAGAACCATGGCCCCAAAATCTCACGTTGGTGGCTAGGGCATATATATATATATATATATGTGTATGTGAATGGATCCCAACCTGTAGCTATAGAGTGATGTGTTTTCTGAGCCACCAGAATCACAATGAGAAGGTAAGCAACACTTAAGTGGACAAACCCTCTCCTCAACCTGAAGAAGTCCAAAAGGCAACATTCTAAACTCAAAATGATGGGATCCTGTATGCTATACTCAACCTGAGGAAACAGAACTAATTTGGTCTGAAATTATGTACACTCATCCTCCTCCCTAATTGTATAGGCAAGGGAAATTCCACACGTCTTTGGAATTATGGGGAGAACATGGAACAAACTGTACTCAACCAAGGACCCAGGATGGGACCACCCCGCATTCGAAATTACGAATAACAATGGACCCTCTTCCATGAAAAATGTACTGAACCAATACTGATGAAAAAGAAGGGCCATGCTCATCCCAACCAAACAGCCAAGCATCAAATCTGAACAAGTAATATGAGTAGGCTTCCACATAGGCTGGTGCCTCTCCTACCAACATCAGGGAAAAAAAAAACATCCAGGGTCCCAGGTAGGAGGGTCCCCAACTTCGCCCTCTTCTCTAAGAGTGGAGGAAGTTAGCTCAAACTCTTTGGAGGAATAACCTGTGTCCACCACCCCAGTGACTAGAAACTGGGTGTGGTAAGGACTCCCTAGCTCCACTAGTAGAATCTGGGAGGCTAATGCACATTGGGGAATCCTGAGGAACAGGGCTCTGGAAACAGTGCAATAGGTGAATCAAGTTCCCTAAATTTGTAAAAGCAAACTGATCCCAGTTTATTCAATCCAATGATTTGCAGGGACGAGTAGGATCCCCTTATGCTTTTCTCATGATAATCCATGAGTGGCTGTCCAGCATAGTACAGTAATACCACCCAGTCTACTTCTAGGTCTAATGGGACACCTCATTTCTACAGATCCTGTTGAAACCTAGATAGAGTATATTGTGTTAATGGTTGCTAGTGGGAATTTCATTTGATAAAAGCACACCTGCCTGTACAACACTCACAACAGAGTGGGATTCTGGGAAAATGAGGTAAAAGACCATGGAAAGTAAAGAAGAGACAATATCAACAATGAAGATACTCACCCCTCATTATAAACTAGTGGATATGGTTAAAGTAGCTATATGGTGTAGCTGAAAACCCTCAGAAGAAGATGCCAGATCATGCAAATAATGAGAGATAAAAGACCTCTAGCGGGCAATTCAACCAGGCTGCAAAGGACATAGAAATTTGACAAATATGGTTAGATGTGACTTGCAGAAGTCTCCTTGCCTCCAAAGAGAGCCCGGAATAAGCGATATGGATCAATTTTTGTACCCACCTCATTAAAGTAAATTCCAGGAAACTGAATAAAAAAAGTTGTTCCCTAGCACATCTAAAGGCATTAGTATGGGAAACCTAACAATTCAAGGCCCTCATTGGACATAACAAACAATTGGGATTCGATGTCACAGAGGTGAGAAATAGCAGTCAGATGAATTGGTAAAAAGGATTTATCCCCTTCCCTGGCTGCAGTGTCAGACATAAGAAGGACCTGTCTGGGTATAGGTGGATGTAGAAAGAATAATAAAGCATCCTGGTACATGCAGTGCAAAGAACTCTGACCAGAGACATCCAAAGACCAGCAGCAACAAAAAATAAAGCTCACTGGAAAGGTGATACATGGTACATGAGGCTAAGGAATCAAATGGATGTCGAGAAAGAGCATGTATTACCAACCCTATATCCGAGTTAGGTACCTGCAATGGTCGTTTTGGATGAATGACCTGAAATGACTTGAGGAGGCCAGAGAGCACTGAGAACTCAAATAATTTTCGTCTCTTTGAGTTTCTAAAGGTAGATGATAAGGCTGACTTATATAAGGTGAATGTGGAAGGTGCGAATCTCTTGTCAAAGAGCAAGGTAAACAAAAAAGAGCTATCATTGGCACTTCTGGATAAAGTGGGTTCAACCTCCTTGCAATACACCATTGTCAATATGTGTACTATTTCCATTGATAAATGTCCATCATGGGACTACACAGAGACTAAGACAGATATATGGCAACCTTAGAAGTTAAACCCCAATGCTATGTAAAGGACCACATAATCCCATGCATGAAGCTTGAGCTTTAGGATGTTTGGGTGTATGATGTTGGATCACAGTTGTTTCAACAGAGATGGTAAAAAAAATAAGTCAAAAAAGTGAGCATTCTTGAATGTACCACAGAAGCAGAAACCAAGGTTGAGCCGGCCAATCCAGTGCTACCAACAGAACATGACAAGAAGTTGAACAAATCATAGCTAGTACTCTGGGTAACATACGAATCAGTGGGAAGGCATAGAGGCAAACTACACAAGGGTTAACTGCGCTAGCCATCTCTCATTTAGCAGTGAAAGACTTGAGGGAAGGCAGCTAGTCATCACCACCCACCACCAACTTTTGGGTTACTCTTTTACCAATGAATATTGGGATTGACCGTTACATTATAATGTTCCCACAGCTGAAAGGGCGAACATGATTGGTGGGACAGGAATTTGAACCCATGACCCTCAGATTACAAGTTGAGTGCCCTAGTCATGC